CATGATCTCTGCTCACTGCAACCTCCGCCTCCCGGGTTCAAGCAAATCTCTTGCCTCAGCCTCTCAAGTAGCTGGAACTACAGGCGCACGCCACCATGCCCAGCTAATTTTTGTATTTTTAGTAGAGACGAGGTTTCACCATGTTGGCCAGGACAGTCTCGATCTCTTGACCTCGTGATCTACCCACCTCCGCCTCCCACAGTGCTGGGATTACAGGTGTGAGCCACCGTGCCTAGCCAGCTATAATGATTTTAAAAACACAAGTGGGCCAGGTGTGGTGGCTCACGCCTGTAATCCAAACACTTTGGAGGCCAAGGGGGGCGGATCACCTGAGGTCGGGAGTTCAAGACCAGCCCGACCAACATGGTGAAACCTCGTCTTAAAAAAAAGAAAAAAGAAAAAACACAAGTGTTGGTGAGGATGTGGAGATTAGGAGCCCTCATGCTTCGCTAGTGGCAATGTAAAATGAAGCAGCAGCTTTGAAAAGCAGTCTGGCAATGGCTGAAAAGTTTAAACATAAAGTTATCATGTGACCCAGTGATTCTACTCTTAGGTATATTCCCACGAAAGGAAAACATATGTCCACACAAAAACCTGTTCACAAATGTTCACAGCAGAATTATTTATAATAGCCAAAAAGTGGAAACAACCCAAATGTCCCTTAAATGACGAATGGCTATGTCAAAAGTGGTATATCCATACAGTGGAATATTATTTGGTAATAAAACGGAATGAAGTTCGGAGACACACTCTGCATGTATCAGAACTTCATTCTGATTCATGGATGAACTTTGAAAACATTTATTTTCAAAAGAAGTCAGATGCAAAAGCCAGCATATTGTATGAATCTTTTATAAGCTTGTCCAACCCATGGCCCCATGGGTCACATGTGGCCCACGATGGCTTCGAATGCAGTCCATCACAGATTTATAAACTGTCTTAAAATATTATGAGATTTTTTGTGATTTTTTGTGTTTTTTTTTTTTTAGTTCATCAGCTATTGTTAGTGTTAGTGTATTTTAGTGTGGTCCAAGACAGTTCTTCCAGTGTGGCCCGGGGAAGTCAAAAGATTGGACATGAAATGCCCAGAATAGGTAAATCTATAGAAATGAAAAGTGGAGTAGTGGTTGCCAAGGCTGGGAAGTTGGGGATTAATGAAGGGTGACTGCTGATGGGTACAGGGTTTCTTTCTGGAGTGATGAAAATGTTCTGACAGTTATTGTGGTGGTTATTACACAACTTTATGAAGAGCCTTAAAAAAAGGCATTTTTTCTTTTTGAGACAAGACTGAGTTCACTCTGTTAAGCAGGCTGGAGTGCAGTGGTGCAATGTCGGCTCACCACAACCTCTGCCTCCTGGGTTCAATTGATTCTCCCACCTCAGCCTCCTGAGTAGCTGGGATTACAGGCATGTGTCACCACAGCCTGGCTAATTTTTGTATTTTTAGTAGAGATGGGGTTTCACCATATTGGTCAGGCTGGTCTCAAATTCCCAACCTCATGTGATCCACCTGCCTCAGCCTCCCAAAGTGCTGGGATTACAGGTATGAGCCACCACACCTTACCAGCATTACTAATATCAATAATAAACCAGGACTCATGCTGTCCGACCACAGGTGCCTCTATTCAGCACACCAGCCTGCTCCTCTCGATCCTGTGCCTCTTAATTTGCATTTTTTTCACCAACCAGGTGCCCTTCTAATCACCACTGAGAAAGTGAGGAAAGAGGGACTTACTGCCAGAGAACTCAATGTCTGATGGAAAACCTTAAAGCCAGTGCAAATTGTGTTCCTGATTTCTAAATTTTCACAATGTCCTCTCAAATCATATGGCCACAAAATTCCACCATCCTTCACTTTAAGGAGCACTCTAAAGACTCTGTTTTGAGAAAAGGAAAAGGCAACAAATGCCAGGCCTACAAAGAAGTTGCCAGGCCCACAAAGTCACAAGACCTGTGTTCCACAGGGCTGCCAGCGTCAGAGAGTTCGGTTCAAGAGAGGTGGGAGGGAAACAGTGTGGACTTTCTAAATGTGAGGATCCAGGAGAGCAGAGGATGGCCGCCTCCTAGAAAAACAGAGGCTTCATGGTAAAGACATTGTGAATTAACCAACAGGAACTCACCCTCCCGTTCCACACAAAGACTTCATCTCAGTTCAAACAGAATCTGGCTTCCCGAAGACACATGTTTCCCCCAGCTGTGAAAATGGGCCTGAAACACTGAAGTATTTAAGACTGGCTTATCAGAGAAGTCTGAGGTCATTTGGAGAGGTGTGAGAGTGGTAGGAGAAATTGCCCATGCCAAGATTTGACCCAAAAAGGAACTCCCTGACTGAAGTTATAGGCCTCACCAGAAACTGATAACATGGGATGCTTAAGAGAGAGAAGCTGAATGGTGGTGTAGTCATACCGGTGGAGAGGGGCAGGGGAGAATGGGATGGGAAGTGGCTTTATGCTGCCACTTTTGTACTTTTTGAATTTTGAACTCGGTTTCTAGAAAGTGTCTGGCATAAAGTAGGTGTGCAATAGATATTTTTAAAAAGGTGAATGAATGGAGTCAAATACACATGATTGTTTAAAACTTTTTGTTTCAAGGGTACGTGTACAGATTGGTTCTACAGATAAACTACATGTTGCCAGGGTTTGTTGTATATAATATTTTGTCACCCGAGTAATGAGCATAGTACCCTTTAGGTAGTTTTTCAGCCCTCACCTTCCTCCAACCCTCCACCTCCAATTAGGCCCTAGCATCTATTGTTCCCTTCTTTGTCTCAATGTTCAGCTCCTACTTATAAATGAGAACATGTGGTGTTTTGTTTTCTGTTCCTGCATTAGTTTGCTTAGGGTAATGACCTCCAGTTCCATCCATGTTGCTGCAAAGAACATGATTTCATTCTTTTTTACGGCTGTGTAGTATTCCATGCTGTATATGTACTATGGTGTGTTGGGTTTTTTGTGTGGTTTTTTTTTTTTGAGACAGAGTCTCGCTCTGTCACCAGGCACCAGGCTGGAGCACAGTGGCACGATCTCCACTGGCTGCAACCTTCTCCTCCCGGGTTCAAGCAATTCTCCTGCCTCAGCCTCACAAGTAGTTCAGACTACAGGCATGTGCCACCATGGCCAGATAATTTTTGTATTTTAGTAGAGATGGAGTTTTACCATGTTGGCCACATAGTCTTGATCTCTTGACCCTGTGATCTGCCCACCTCAGACTCCCAAAGTGCTGGGATTACAGGTGTGAGCCACCGTGCCTGCCCACATTTTTTTAATCCAATACTTTGGATGGACATTTGGATTGGTTCCTTGTCTTTGCTATTGTGAATAGTGCTGCCATGAACTTGCAAGCTCATGTGTGTTTATGATAGAATGAGTTGTATTTATTTGGGTATATACCCAATAATGGGTCAAATGCAAACATGATTTTGAATTCAAGTCCTACCAATTTTACTGTGTGTTTTGTTTAGTTTCTTAACTTCTTTAAGCCCCAGTGTCCTTTAAGTAGCATAGGGGTGGTAATATCTGTCTCATAATATTATTGTGATGATAAAGTGAATTGTTGCATGTAAATCACTAGCATAGAGTAAGCACTTAATAAATGACAGTTGCCATGGTGATGATTATAATGATAATGCCAATGACAACTACAGTAATGATAGTGGAGAGAAGTTGCTCAGGGGGCTCTTCTAATTCTTTTATAGTAAAATAGAGCATATCTCTAGCAAATATTGCTTGAAATAAATGTGCCCTGTCTGGATTTTGGAAATCTGTTATTATAGGAAGGTTTTCAGTTAGAAATTTACCCAGGGTCTATGGTGCCTGAGGAATATACTGAAAAATATAAATACTAATAGGATTATTAATAGGACAAGGCTCCTGCCCTCAAGGAGCTTTGTTACAATGGTATTGGTAAATGAATGTCCTGAAAAACCGTAGACTATCTGATTTTGTTGTAGTTATTGTAATGGATTTAATCCTAATGAACATATAACATGAAGATTCAAGAGCTGGAAATTCAATGAATCTAATACTCTAGATTCTGTAGCCACTAGTGTGGCAATGAGCCAGATATTACATGGACAATACTCTCATCTTCTTACCTTTTCTTATCTTTTCTTTGCTTAGCATCAGAACTTTTTGTACAGTTCTGATGCTAAGCAAAGGTAAGAAAAGTACAGAATATATATATATATTCCTGTATATAGAAGGTAGTGTTACACAGTAGGTAAAAGTATGGACTCTTCTCTGAACTTCCTAACTCTGTGATGTTGGGCAAGGCATTTACACTTTCTCAGCCTGTGTTTTTTATTGTTTTGTTTTGAGTTTAGCCTTAAAAAAAAAAAAAAAGCCAGGCTAGTAATCACACACACATTATAGAGTTGTGAGGATTAAAGGTACTACTGGCTTTAAAATGTTTAGCACTATGCCTGACCCAGTAAGTTCTCTACTTCCTTCTATGTGAGAAGAGTAGAATATATTTTGTCTGGTGGCAGAAAAATAGTTGTTAAAAAAAAAAACTAGCTCAGGCCAGGCATGGTGGCTCTCGTCTGTAATCTCAGCAATTTGGGAGGCTGAAGCAAGAGGATCTTTTGAGTTCAGAGGTTCAAGACTAGCCTGGGAAACATGGTGAAACCTCATCTCTACCAAAAAAAACTGGCTGGGCACAGTGGCTCACGCCTGTAATCCCAACACTTTGGGAGGCCAAGGCGGCTGGATCAGCTGAGGTCAGGAGTTCAAGACTAGCCTGGCCAACATGATGAAACCCTGTCTCTAATAAAAACATAAAAATTGGCTGGGTGTGGTGGCAGGTGCCTATAATCCCAACTACATGGGAGGCTGAGGTAGGAGAATCACTTGAATCTGGGAGGCAGAGGTTACAGTGAGCCAAGACTGTTTCACTGTACTCCAGCCTGGGCAAGAGAGCAAGACTCTGTATCAAAAAAAAAAAAAAAAAAACCAGAAGTCCTGCGTACCCACAGACGACTCAGGTGGGAGATGAATGGTGTCATGGCTGCCGACAGTGACGATGGCGCAGTTTCAACTCCCGCAGCCTCCTATGGTGGTGTCAGCAAGAGCACAACATCTGTGGAGGAGCTAATAGTCCGGGTTCCTCTAGTAGATCTTCAAAGCAACAACTTTAAGGAGATGTGGCCATCCCTCCTGCTAGCCATAAAGACAGCCAATTTCATGGCTGTGGACATGGAGCTGAGTGGGCTGGGGACAGAAGAGTTTGTTGAACCAGTGCATCGAGGAATGTTACAAGGCCGTGTGTCATGCTGCCAGGGCCCGTTCTATCCTCTCCCTGGGCCTCGCCTGCTTCAAGCAGCAGACAGACAAGGGTGAGCATTCCTATCTGGCTCAAGTATTCAATCTCACTATGCTGTGCATGGAGGAGTATGTCATAGAACCAAAGTCTGTGCAGTTCCTGATACAGCATGGCTTCAACTTCAACCAGCAGTATGCCCAGGGCATCCCCTTCCATAAGGGCAATGACAAGAGTGATGAAACCCAGAGCCAGTCAGTACGGTCCGTATTCCTGGAGCTAATCCGAGCCTGCTGGCCCCTGGTACTACACAATGGCCTTATAGACTTGGTGTTCCTGTACCAGAACTTCTATGCACACCTCCCTGATAGTCTGGGAACCTTCACTGCTGACCTGTGTGAGATGTTCCCGGCAGGCATTTGACACCAAATATGCTGCTGAGTTTCATGCACCCTTCGTAGCCTCCTACTTAGAATATGCCTTCCGGAAATGTGAAAGGGAAAATGGGAGGCAGCGGGCAGCGGGCAGCCCACACCTTACCCTGGAGTTCTGCAGCTATCCTTCCAGCATGAGGGCCCATATTGATTACCGCTGCTGCCTGCCCCCAGCAACCCACTGTCCTCATCCCACCAGCATCTGTGACAACTTCTCGGCTTATGGCTGGTGCTCCCTGGGACCACAGTGTCCTCAGTCCCACAACATTGATCTTATCATTGACACTGATGAAGCTGCCGCAGAGGACAAGCAGCAACAGCGGCAATGGCAGGAAAAACGGAAGAGGGCTTTGTTGAACCTAAGGGGGACACAGACCTCTGGGGAAGAAGCTAAGGATGGTCCTCCCAAGAAGCAGGTCCATGGGGATCGCCTCAGGGCTGAAGAAACTGAGCAGGAAGTGGCTGAGGATGAAACTAGGAACCTGTCTCACTCCAAGCAAGGCAACAAAAATGACTTAGAGATGGGGATTAAGGCAGCAAGGCCTGAAATAGCGGATACAGCTACCTCAGAAGTGCCAGGGAGCCAAGCCAGTCCTAACCCCGTGCCTGGGGATGGATTGCACCGAGCTGGTTTTGATGCCTTTATGACAGGTTGTGTGGTGGCCTCTGTGGAGGTGAGCCAGGGACCCCAGCCCTGTAGCTCTGGACCCTGGCTCTCTGAATGCCACAATAAGGTATATTTGAGTGGCAAAGCTGTACCCTTCACAGTGGCCAAGAGCCAATTCTCTCGTTCCTCCAAAGCCCACAATCAGAAGATGAAGCTCGCTTGGGGCAGCAGCTGATGCAACTTCCACCTAGCACCCAGGTGTAACAGATATTTTGGGTCTCTCTAGCCTGTAAATGTCATACTCAACTACTACTGCGTTTAGGGGATGGGGAGTGTCCTGGAAGATATCAATGCATTGCCCTGGACCTCCTCCTTTATCTCAGTGTCTGAGGTACAAGTAAGAAGGCTGACCAGCACCTGTAACACCGACTTTAAGTCTGAAAATGACTTGGGAAAGTTTTGAAAAAAAAAAAAAAAATCAACAGAAGCAAGTTATGAAAATATTTGACCAGCTTCAAAAAAAAAAACCTTAGTTCAGCCCATCTTTTCTTCTCTCACGTTTAAGGGCAAACAATTTTGGGTTGATTGATTTTTTAACTTCATAAATTGTGCAAATGCTGTGAGTTGAATGTATCCCACAAAGTTTGTGTGTTGGAAATGTAATCCCAAATGCAACAGTGTTGAGAGATGGGATGTGTAAGAGGTGATTAGGTCATGAGTGATCTGCCCTCTCGAATGGATTAATGTTGTTATCACGGGAGTGGGTTCATTATTGAGAGAGTGGGTTTGTTATAAAATCGAGTTCAGCCCTCTCTCATGCTTTCCCACTCTCTCACCTTCCACCATGGGATGATATGGCAGGAGAGCCCTCATTAGATGCTGGCACCTTTATATTGGACATTCTAGACTCCAGAACTCAAAAGCTTGTGAGTTAAATACATGTTCTTCTTTATAAATTACCTAGTCTTCAGATATTCTGTTACAGCAGCACAAAATGGACCAAGACAGAAAACTGATACCAGGAAGCAAGGCTGATGCTGTAACAAATGCCTGAAAATGTGGAAGCAACTTTGGAACTGGGTAATGCATACAGGCTGGAAGAATTTGGAGGAGCAGGCTAGAAAACACCTAGATTGCCATGAATGGAGCACTAAAGGCAATTCTCAAGAAGGCTCAGAAGAGAAAAGCTATGGGCAAAGTTTGGAACTTTCTACAGATTACTTAAGTAATGTTGTTTAGAATGTTCATAGAAATATGGACAGTGAAGGCCATTCTGATGGGGTCTCAGATAGAAAGGCGGAATTAAGGTATTGCAAACTGGAGCAAAGATCATCCTTCTTATACCGTTGCAAAGAACTTGATGGAATTTTGTCCATGACCTAGGCTTTGTGGAAGGCAGAACTTAAGCGTGATGAACGATTAATAGAATATCTGGGCTGGGCACAGTGGCTCACGCCTTTAATCCTAGCACTTTGGGAGGCTGAGGTGGGAGGATCACCTGAGGTCAGGAGTTCAAGACCAGCTTGACCAACATGGTGAAACCCTGTCTCTACTAATAATACAAAAAAATTAGTGGGACATGGTGGCGCACCCCTGTAATCTCAGCTAATTGGGAGGCTGAGGCAGGAGAATCGCTTGAACCCAGGAGGTGGAGATTGCAGTGAGCCAACACTGCACCACTGCACTCCAGCCTGGGTGACAAGAGTGAAACTCCGTCTCAAAAAAATAAAAAATAAATAGAATATCTGGTGGAAAAAATCTCTAAGCTACAAAATAGTGAAGAAGCTTCGTGGTTACTTTTAACTGCATGTAGTAAGATATGAGAGGATAGAAAGAATTTTTTTTACCCCCACCAAGGAACTCATGAGAAGTAATTAATTTTCTTCCTTCTCTTTTCTTTTCTTTCTTTCTTTTTTTTTTTTTTTTGACATGGAGTCTGGCCCTGTCGCTCAGGCTAGAGTGCAGTGGTGCCATCTCAGCTAACTGCATGCTCTGCCTCCAGGGTTCAAGCCGTTCTTCTGGCTCAGCCTCCCAAGTAGCTAGGATTACAGGCATGCACCACCATGCCTGGCTAATTTTTGTATTTTTAGTATAAACTGGGTTTTACCATGTTGGCCAGATTCGTCTTGAACTCCTGGCCTCAAGTGATCCACTATATTGGCCTTCCAAAGTGCTGGGATTACAGGCATGAGTCACAGCGCCCAGACTGATGAGAAATAATCTAAAGATTGAATTTAGCACTAAAAGGGAAGCAGAGCAGAAAGATTTAGAAAATACACAGCCTGGCCTGGTAAAGAGTAAAAAGGCATCTTTAGGAGAGCAAATCAAGGCCATGGCCAAGCGACAATTTGCTAAGAGATTAGTAGGAATAGAAGAAAGCCACATTCCATTTATTAAGACAATGGAAGAATGATCCCAGAGGCATTTCAGAGCTCTTTAAGGCAAGCCCAGGGCCTGGAGAGCAAGGTTTCAAGAGAGGCCCCTGTAAAGCCTCAGCGTTTGCTGCCCTATACTGAATCCTGCCCAGGAGTCAACTCCCTCCCAGGAGATCGAGGCTGCAGTGAGCTATAATCACACCACTGCACTCCAGCCTGGGCAACAGAGCAAAATGCTTGTCTTAAAAAAAAAAGAGGCCGGGCGCGGTGGCTCAAGCCTGTAATCCCAGCACTTTGGGAGGCCGAGGCGGGTGGATCACGAGGTCGAGAGATCGAGACCATCCTGGTCAACATGGTGAAACCCCATCTCTACTAAAAATACTAAAAATTAGCTGGGCATGGTGGCGCATGCCTGTAATCCCAGCTACTCAGGAGGCTGAGGCAGGAGAATTGCCTGAACCCAGGAGGCGGAGGTTGCGGTGAGCCGAGATCGCGCCATTGCACTCCAGCCTGGGTAACAAGAGCGAAACTCCGTCTCAAAAAAAAAAAAAAAAAAGAAACACTGTCTAGCAACCTAGCCCCCCACCAAACTACTGAAAACCAAAGAGAAAAAGAAACACTTGAAGACAACCAAAAACAGAAGACACATTAAATACAGAGGAACAAAGTATAAGAATTATACCAGGTTTTTCATTGGAAACTGTGCAAACCAAAAGACAATGAAGTGACATTTAAAAAATATTAAACTAGTTGTGGGAGATAAATATATATATTATATTATATTATATATATTATATAATATATAAATATAAATATTTTATATTATTATATATCTATTATATATTATACATTATATATAATATATGATTATATATTTATATTATATATTATAATATATATTTATTATATATAATACATATAATATATAAATTATATATAATATATAAATTATATATTATATATTATATATTTATTATATATAATATATAATAAATATATAATATATAAATATAAATATATATTTTTATATAATAAATATAAATATATAAATATATGTATATATAATACATATAAATATATTATATAAATAAATTAACTATATTATATAAATATATTTATCTCCCACAACTAGTAGATATATATATACGTGTGTGTATATACATATATATATATAGAAAAAAACACATTTCACCATAGTTCTATACTAAATGAAAATACTTTTCAAAAATGAAAGCAAAATAAATACTTCTTTAGAAAACAAACCTAACAATTTATTACCAACAGTCCTGTACTATAAGAAATGTTAAAGGAAGTTCTTAGGCCAGACACAATGGTTCATGTCTATAATCCCAGCACTTTGGGAGGCCAAAGTAGGAGGATCATTTGATCCCAGGAGTTTGAGACCAGCCTGGGCAATATAGTGAGACTTTGTCTCTACAAAGAAAGAAAAGAATTAGCCACACCTGTAGTCCCAGCTCCTTGGGAGGCTGAGGAGGGAGGATTGCTTGAGCCCAAGAGATAGAGGCTGCAGTGAGCTGTGAACATACCACTACACTCTAGCATGGGTGACAAAGTGAGACCTTGTCTCAAAAAAAATAAAAAGAAAGTTCTTTAAGCAAGAGGAACATGATATCACAGAATCTGGTAATCATACACAAAGCAAAGAAATCTACATTAAAAAATGAAGATTTCTGGAAATAACTAGAATTAAATATAAAAACTTTCTTTTATTTTTTATCTCTATAAAAATTATTGACTTTCAAAAAGAAATATAGTGGAATGTATTGTGGGTTTATTACACATTTAAAAATAAAAGCAATCATAGAAAAAGCTTCTGCACAGCAAAAGAAACTATTATCAGAGTGAACAGACAACCTACAGAATGGAGAAAATTTTTGTAGTCTACCCATCTGACAAAGGGCTAATATCCAGAATCTACAAAGAACTTAAACAAATTTACAGAAAAAAAAAAATCAAAAAGTGGGTGAAGGATATGAACAGCGACATCTCAAAAGGAGACATTTATGCAGTCAACAAACATAGGAAAAAAGCTCATCATCACTGGTCATTAGAGAAATGCAAATTAAAACCACATTGAGATACCATCTGACACCAGTTAGAATGAAAATCATTAAAAAATCTGGAGCGAATGTGGAGAAATAGGAACACTTTTACACTGTTGGGAGTGTAAATTAGTTCAAACATTGTGGAAGACAGTGTGGCAATTCCTCAAGGATCTAGAACTAGAAATACCATTTGACCTAGCAATCCAATTACTGGGTATATATCCAAAGAATTAGAAGTCATTTTATTACAAAGACACATACACACATGTTTACTGCAGCACTCTTCACAGTAGCAAAGACTTCAATTTCCCCCAACTATGTATTATTGACTTCAAGTTTAATTCAATTTTAAGTCAAGTTTAATCCCCAAATATTTCCAAATATTTGGAAATTAACACACTTCTAAACCCATTGATCAAAGAGGAAGTCATATTTAAAATTGGATAATTTTAAATGGTGGCTTGCGCCTATAATCCCAGCTACTCTGGAGGCTGAGGCAGGAGGACCACTTGAGGTCAGGAGTGTGAGAGCAGCCTGGGCAACATAGCAAGACCCCATCTCTACAAAATAAAAAATGAATAAAAAATTTGGCCAGGTGTTGTGGCTCACGCCTTTCATCCCAGCATGTTGGGAGTCAGAGGCAGGCAGATCACTTGAGTTCAGGAGTTTGACACCAGCCTGGGCAACCTGGTGAGACCCTATCCCTACCAAAAATAGACAAAATTAGCTGGGCATGGTGGAGCATGCTTCTATTCCTAGCTACTTGGGGAGGCTGAGGTGGGAGGATTGCTTAA